ACGGATGGAAACAGTGCTGTGGCCTGCACGACAAGTGAAGACAGGCCATCTAAGTATCTGAGTAAGTAACACATGACTGCTAGCAATACTTTGATTAAGCGACCTTCTCCTAAATGCTATCGGATGCGTGAGCACTAGGTGATGTAATTCAATGCTCTAACAAACGACCTCTGTAAGCAAACATGCGTAACCCACTCCCATCAATGTAAGTCATGTAAATAGTGTTCCAAAAGTAGCTAACTAAGTAAGCAATAAAAAGCAAAATGAGTTGTCTCTGATATGGGCTTGTGAGATCTGTTGAGCTTAAGTCTATTTAATGGAATCAAAAAGGAGCTCTTGGTAATAGTTTCTGGTAAACGAAGCAAGCAGCCGTTGAATATTATGTCTTAATGTTCAGATATACCTGTTCTGAAAGTGTGAAGTATGAATTACTTGTACAGCAAATATTTTTGCACTTTCTACCGATTCACAATGGGTTGCCATCGTAGTGTAAAGAGCGAATACATTTACATTCAATATCTTAAGAGACAACAAATTTTTCCATTCGCAAACCAGACTTTCCAACCCCGTCAATCTGAATCAGATATAGGTCGGGCAGTTCAGCAGAAACTCCGGACCTAACATAACATTTAAAGTCAACTACTTTATAACTGCGTAAACCACTCATGATTACTTATGATTCTATTATAGCTATATTCTATTACATTTTTGAAACATTGACAAAGAACGGTATTTTGCATTATTTTCAATTAGCTCAAAAATAAACAAAAATGATTGAAAGTAATCGAACCAAACGGAGGAGAGCTTTTTTCTCCATTGAAATTCCTAGACTTTTCCATTGAGACAAAACCTAAGTTTGCATTCATTCATTCAATTGTTACTTCAATCGTTGCTTGGAATATTTCAAAACTCACTAGATACCAAGTCAGGTCTTTTGGATTCGTCTTTCCAGTCGGTCGTTCTTTCTAGCCACCTTAAAAGAGTAAGATCAATTTGTGAGAAAGGTGTAAGGAAGAATGATTTGGCAGATCGAACATTTTGAAATTGCGAAAAATTGCTTTTCGATTTGAATGGACCTGCGGAGATCATTATTATGTTCTTTTTGATATATGAGTCACCTCGAATATTCAACGCCATATTTCACTAACTCGTTAAAACTCATTTTCATTAAGTAACAGGTACGCTCATTCTTCCATATTTAGGACATAATCATACAGGATATAGGCAGAATGCATATTGTTAGAAGGTCTTGCTTAATCAAATCTAGGATTTTGAGCTTATACCATTCTGCTCGTAATTTCAAGCAAAATACACTGACTATTGTACAACAATCGTTACCATCCAATACATAACCATCCTCACTGTCTATCTTTCAGTGCAAGGAATCAGCGGTTTTCAAATCCTCTTTAACATTATAGAAGCAATAACATACATATACAACGCTTTCGATTAAGATGGCTTTTGACTTTCAAAATGGTGAAGGAAATTTACCCTAAATCCCGCTTTCTTTTGAAAATTACCTGCCAAATAAGGACAGTGGAAAGAGTTGAAAAAAAATGAATACCTGACTCACACTAAAAGCTTCCCGATAACTCCGACGCTCTTGATCAGTTTATTAATGACGTTTCGCATACACAGTCAAATATTTGGGAAGAAACTACCTTTTATAAAACTATAATGATGCGCACATATCCATTTGAAGAAACTGATTATGCTAAAGCAAAAACTTCCGCAAAATGGTAAACATCAGTCAAGTGGGCTTTGAGCCATTTATACAACTCATTCAAGATTCATGAGCTTAAGAGTCTGCTCAATAGTCATATACGCAAATTACATAATTGTGGATGGCGTCAAAAGAGCAACTTTGAAATTCTTCTCTTTGTTGCAATTCATTTTTGTTATGACCTTAGCTACAAGATAAACTTACAGCCAAATTGACCAAGACGGATTCCGGCGATTTCGTGTTTGAAGTGCCTTGACTTTTTCCAGTTCTTGATCCATGACCATTCGAGGAACGAGCATTCCCTCATTTGCCTTTAAAAGCATTGCCTTCGTCTTGTTGTCACGTTCTGAAATAATGAGATAGGCGGAATTCTCATGGCAAAACTTTTTTTCAAAATTGTCTGAAAAGAATAAGCTATGATGCACTATTTATCTATATAAAAGAGTGGAGATAAATAGGCAGCACTTTTTGGTTGTGTTCGATTTGCAACGTATGTGACGAGGGCGAACTCGAGCAGTGCACAGAAAATAAACGTCAGGCAAGCTAGAATGAAAAATATTTTGATTTTTTGAGATTAACTACGAGATATTTAAATTACCTCCTATCCACACGTCGATAGCTTTGATGTAAGCCACAGGCGGAAGCTTCGCGTTTATGCCGGATGACTGTAAAAACGGTGTGTCAGAAAATACTGGGTCGCGTGCTTGAAATTTTGGAAACATAAGCTTTCCTCAAAATTGTCTGCAAAGCATGCACTAATTTATTATCTAGTGAGCATGACCCGCACAGATTAGCGGATCATTATCATCGTCTCTGACCTAGAAGCCAGCTAGACGGGAGATGGCGGGCATATAAGGGTCTGCCTGTGCAGCTCAAGGAGTTCCGCGTCAAGGCAAATTTGAAGGAAAACTGCAGGATAATCGCGAGGTTTACATTATAGGTTCAGGGTAACAGTTCACCGCAATGGGTACAAGATAAACGAGAAATTATCGTGAAACTAGGACGAGAAAGTGATTATTTCGCAGCTATAGATGAGAGTCAAGGAGCCACAACCTCATCGCATCATCAGGTAGCGAGCGCCATTGAGAAAAACCTCATCTTCAAGCCCCTGAGTTTTGTCATCTACTTGTGTCCTGTATTCTGTGGTGTACTGAAAAACCATTAATCCTAGTGTGCTTTTCGTTCTACAGTAGATCCGGTCCACACATCTGTTACGAAGGGCTCCATACATAAATTAGAGTATTACTGTGTGCATTTAAAACCCTGCTCGATCTTTTTTGAAAATCATAGAGTGTTGTACTTATTCTTAAAACCACAGGATTCTTTTGCTGCTAAAGTATCGTCCCTAATTCCAATTATTAGGTACGTACTTCAATTGTTAGGAAGCAATGTCAAAGTTAAAAATAATATAAATCCTATCACTACCCATTCATTGTCAGATACATTTTGAATAGGTGTGATCAAGCGATATAAGACTATTGTTTTCATAGCATATGCAATATTGGGCATACTACATGGGAAAGGCTGCAAGGAGAAGTCTAACCTCTGACATATAGAAAAGAAACTCATAGTTGCCCACTGAGAATACCATTACATTTCCAAAATATTGTCATAACTGTACCCTACCTCTTACATGTATTTAGAAAACGATCATCACACAGTACAGTTAGGCTGAAAAAGTCAACATGTTTCCCAAATATACTTAAACTGCTAAGAGTTTCC